TACATACTGATACAGTATGAATATGGAAAAACTTAAAAACAAAAGGTGTAGGTATCTTCAGCATCTTTCCAACAAATATTTAATCACCTCATTCCGAAGTCGGATGCAAAAGTTACAGCCAAAATACCAAAGAGTGTGTTTCTAGTCAGACTGGGTTTCCAGTTTCGGGTTTCGGGTTTTGGGCTGTATTTATTCGGGTTTGCTGCCATATATATACATATTTATACACAAAAACACCTCTTTTCTTCTGTGTTCCAAACCCTAGCAGCCCCTCTCCTCCTCTCTCAAACTCTATCCCTAAACTTGAGTTCTCGGGAGAATTTCATGAGGCGAAAAGCGAGGAGAAGACGAGATTTTGCGGTGTTTGGCATCGAGGGATGGTTTGCTGATTGTTTTAGGGAGTTGTGCACATGATAAGGCAAGATTATATGTATCCAAACCCTTCCCTTAATAAAGATTAGACTTTTAATGGTTAAAGTGATGTTTTTCATGGTAAAGTTTAACCCGACATGATAAAGTTTAGATTTTTTATGATAATTCTTTAAACCATGATAGATCTATAATAATTTCTTGCTGTTTATGATAAAAAATATGATCATAATCATTAGGGTTATTCATAATTTTGTTTTTAATTTATTAATCATGATTAAACCATATTTAAACCCTAATTTGGCAATTAAATGATATTTTATGTTGATTAGAGATGCTTAAAACCCTAGGTTTGGGGTAAAACAAGATTTGAAAACATGAAAAAACAATTGTTACATTGGTTTCAAGTTTCATACAAGTATATTTATGTTAATTTTGTCGATAACTAGGGTTCTTGTAAGAGCATCTCCAACAGCTTCCCCAAAATTTTCTCCAAAATGGAGAAACAAAAGTCATATTCTCCAAATTATTTTTGCTCCAACTCCAACAGCTTCCCTATTTTAAAAAATCGCATTTATTACAATAATAAAGCTCTCCCCAAAAATTTGGAGAATGCTGCAGATTTGGGGAAGGCTCCCTATTTTTTCTCCTCCTTCCCTATTTTGGGGAATGGGATGGGGAATCTGTTGGACCAAAAAAACCTCTATATTCCCCAAAATTGAGTATTTCAAGAAGATGGGGAAGCTGTTGGAGATGCTCTAAAGAATTTGATTAATTGGGTTGTTAAACTTGATTAGGTTAAATCAAGTTTAAGTAAATCATGAGATATTTTTCTAATATGTAGAAATAAAGTTTTCATCTTGTCATATGATTTATAAATAACAAAACTCATGTTTTTGATGAGCTAAAATTTCTGTAAGTTCAAAACCTAAAAACCTGTTATGCTTCTGCGCGGTCGACCGCGGTGGACGCGGCGGTCGACCGATGGGCGATGTTTTTGTGCAGGAAGCTCTCTGTTTTTGCGCGATCGATCGCGATGGACGCGACAGTCGACCGCTAGGCGATATTTTGTGTAATGTCTTTCTGCTCATTTCACGGTCGAGCGCGGTGATCGCGGCGGTCGACCGCTGGACCTGTTTGTGCATGTGCATGTTGTTTACATACGTTTGTATGACCGACGAGTTGTCTGGGTTATGTGGTATTTTAATACACTGTAAAATTATGTATTCTACATATGAGTTGATTATGGACATGAGTTTAGGATTCACTCACCAAGGCACAAGTGTGAATAGTATATATGCATTTTACTTACATCATCTATTTGTATTACGCTCATCATATGCAATCCTTGTATTGGACATTTATCTATTGCGGCCTATATGTTGGACCTTAATCATATGCAGTCATCGTGTTGGACATTTATCTATTGCGGTCCATGTGTTGGACCTTAATCATATGCAGTCCTCGTGTTGGACATTTACCTATTGCGGCCCATATATTGGACCTTAATCATATGCAGTCCTCGTGTTGGATATTTACCTATTGCGGCCCATGTATTGGACCTTAATCATATGCAGTCCTCGTGTTAGACATTTATCTATTATGGCCCATGTGTTGGACCTTAATCATATGCAGTTCTCGTATTGGAAATTTATCTATTGCAGTCCATGTGTTGGACATTCATCATATATAGTCCATGTGTTGGACACTTATTCGAGTTGTCTTATCTAATATATAGCAGGTGAAGTCCATGTGTTGGACACGTATCTGATATCTGTCAGTACACCTTTGATATGGTTTGAGATGGAGTTGTCTTTTCTTATTGCTTCATGTAGTAGCTTTTGGATTTAGTATTTAGCTATTCACAATTTGAGCTAACGGGATATTCGACATACCTATGCTCGTGTTGTGAATTTCTAAATATCAACATCCATTTATTTCAGAGTAGATGAATGCTTATATGTATGTATTAACAAGTATTTTGCTTATATACGGGGAAAATGATCTAGGTAGGCTATACTTAATAGATAGAGCATCCACTTCATTTAGTAGCCCTTCCCCGGGGGCGGATGGAGGTAATCTTGCTAGCGTTCTGACGCTCTTGTTATTATCCTTTTTTATTTTATTTTATTTTAACTTTCAGGTGGCTCAGAGTATCGGAGGGCCGCAGGATGATGGAGTTATTGCATAGTCATCGTCACATGAGTTACTAGTAGAGACTACACGGTAGAGTTATTTCCATTCAGACATTAGAGTTTTGTATCATATTTTGTAAAGGCTATGAGCCTTAGTTATATTTTCAGCTGTTTTATATCGAGACATATTTATTTATTTCGGATGTCGGATGTATTCCAGATTGGTCACTAAGACATGATTTATTTATGAGATACTCCTTTCCATATCATGTTTGTTGTAGTTATTTTCTTTCTTTTACCTGTTTTGTACTTACACTTTACTTTGATTCCACTAGAGGATATTACTGTGATTGGTGAAACTTATTGTTGCACAGTGTGGGTGCATGGCAGGTTTGACATCTTTAGGTTCACATTGGACTGCAGCCATGTATGAAAACAGGGGAGTCACATAAGTGAGCAAAAACTATCAAAATTAAAATCGAAGAAAATATTTTAATATGGAAATAAGCTAATAATAAATAATTATGATATTCAATCACGTGCAATGCACGTGCATAAAAACTAGTGTGTGTGTGTGTGTGTATACATGTATGTATGTATGTATGTATGTATGTTTTGAGTTTTCTAGAATATGAATCAAACCATTTTAATATATTGATTTTTCAGATAGCTTAATAGTTGTCCCTTTTGCGTATAGCTAAAATAATAATTATAAGTTTCAAAATGATATAATTTTTTTTGCATATAGATCATTATGATGAGTGCAAATCATGATGGGCAGTGTCATTCATCATATGAATCAAACTACTTTAAAATATTTATTTTTCAAACAGTGCAATAGCTGTCTCTTTTACATAGAGCTAAAATAATGATTATAAGTTTTAAAACAATATAACTTTTTCTACCTATAGATCACGATGATGAGAGCAAATCATGATGGGCGGTGTCGATTATTATATCGAGCAGCCTATTGGATCATCTTGCGATAAGAATTTTATTTCACCGTCTTAGGGTCGCGAGAGTGATACTAAATTGAGGTAAACTCTGAATACTAGATATGAAGCCAAAATTATAGGGATCACGGTCGACCAATGAGGCGATGGAGAATAAGCTTCATTGTCGAGAGGATAACAGCCCAGATCACTAGTTAAGTCCCCTAAATGAGCGCTGCTGAAGCTGTGCGATGTCAAAATTCATTGGTAGGGTAGCGTCTCGCCTTAGAGGGAAGCGCCCGGGCAAGCAGGTTCAAACGAAGTGGAAGCAAGAATGTCGGCTTGAGTAACTCAAACATTAGTGAGAATCAAATGTCCCGAAAACCTACGGGCTTCTCCACAAGGTTCGTTCACTGATGGTGAGTCAGGGCCTAAGATCAGGCCGAAGGATGTAGTCGATGGACAATAGGTGAATATTCCTCTTTTTTCATTTCCTCCGGAACAATCACAAAAACTTTTTCTATTATGGATCTACTACCAGAAATACAATGCCGAATCTTAGCATTCATTGTGTATGCGCGCGCCCACACACACACACATTCTTTCAAGGGGTTTCAATCAACCGCCTCCTAGTCAAATTTTCAAAAGCCAAAAATATTCTTAAAAGTCTCACAAGTCAAATTTTTACTAAAAACCAAAAAAAAAAATTCTTAGGAGTCTCACATTCAAGGCACGTGACTTGTATTCTAACTTAGACCTAAATGTTAACTAAATGACTCATGTGCTATGAATTTGAGCTTTTAAGGGTATTTTCAGATTTTAAATGAAAATTTTGTTTTGTAGATGGTTGATTGCAGCACAAATTATTTTAAAAGATGGTTTAGGTATTAGTAATTAACATTTAGAGTTACAAAGTTTCCACATAATGACCTTATTTGAAAAGTGGTTTACGAGGAAAAACCCAAATTTGTTACTCCTATTTGGGGATAAATATGCAAACAAAGTAGATATATAGGGGTATAAATTAGTCCCTTAAATCTTCAACTGCAAATTACTCTCTCAAATCATGAAAATTGCATATTAGTCTCTCAAACCCTATAAAGACCTTACAAAATAGTTCTTCTAATTTTATTTATTTTTGATAATAGTGGTCCTTCTAATTAAATCATGTTAAATTTGAAGGGATATTCCATTTTAAATCTAACATGTGGACTGTTGTACCCCTTATTATATTCCACCATCCCATTTCGTAATGGGTTTAACCCAATATTAGTAATAAAAAAGTCTAAATTCATTTGAGTTTTTTTTCTCCGGTGCGATTCGAAATATCAGAAAGAGAGGTAGTTTGGTGATTACAGTTGTTGGTTAAAATTTAACCCAATTATGGTTAGTTTTTTTTAATATATAATTTATAAATACTAACGGAGGGACCATTTGCACGATTCTATTTATTTGAGGGAGTATATGTAATTTTAAGATTTGAGTGAGGAATATGCAATTATTGAAGATTTAAGGTACATAAAAAAACCAAAAAAATTAGATGGGAAGCGGGACGTGCCGTTTACTCGGTCAAACTTGCACCTTCCTCGTCCTATGCTCTCCCCCTCCTCCTTCAATGGAAAAATTTCGGTCATCGTCACAGGTTCTTTTCTTCTTCAGCCTTTTAACGAAACCCAACACGAATCCACAACGAAAACCCCAAATCAACCCCATTAAATTCCCCCACTAACAACATCGGACAACCGAAAAAGGAAAAAAAAAAAATGTCACAAACAAATCAAAACCAAAAGCAAGGGGCAAAAGGAGATGAAGAAGAAGCTCTCACCCCCACTCGCAGATCCCTCCACCGCTCCATCTCCTGGTCCGTCCGCTCCAACCCTAGCCCTCATCCACCAAACCCTAGAAAACCAGCTCGCCGCCCTCTTCCCCCTCTCCTCCCGCTTCACCGCCCGATCTCCGGCCCGCCACGGCATCACCCACGTGCTCAACTGTGTTGGGACCCCTCGATGCCCCGATTATTTCCGCGGAGATCTCGTGTACAAAACCCTCTATCTCCATGATTCCCCTGCCGAGGACATCACCTCCGTTCTTTATGATGCGTTTGACTACCTTGAGGAGGTTCGATCTCTTGATGGGGCTCGAGCTTTCGTTCATTGCTCGAAGGGAGCTTCTCGATCTGCTGCTCTTGTTATTGCTTACCTCATCTGGAGCTCTTCTTTGTCGTTTCAGGATGCCCTAGCTCACGTTCGATCTGCTCGGTCGGTGGCTGATCCTAACCTAGGGTTTGCTTCACAGCTTTTACAGTGCCAGAACCGGTTTCATGCCCTACCTCCGAGTCCAGGGTCTGTGGTTAGGGTTTATAGAATGGCACCTCACTCGCCGTATGATCCGCTCCATCTTGTGCCGAAGGTTGTTGATCGGCCGTGGCTGCCGAGGTTTGACTCTCGAGGAGCGTTTCTTGTTGTGCATGTGAGCCATGGGATTTTCATTTGGTTAGGGAGTTTTTGCGAGCGGGTGATGGCTGTTAGGGCGAATGAAGCTGCAAGGCAGATTGTGAGGTATGAGAGGGTGAAAGTTAGCATTTTTACTGTGAGCGAAGGATCGGAGAGCAGTGAATTTTGGGATGTGTTGAATGGGGAAGATTTTTGTGATACTAGTGTAACTATTGATGTAGGGAATAGAAAGGTAGAACTTTATGATCTTGATTTCGAGATTTTTAGGAGAGCCATTACAGGCGGGGTGGTGCCTCCGGCACCTATGGCTGGATCGGAAACTAGGTTGCCTGCGAGGGAGAGCGCATGGAGCAGAGTGAGGAAGAAATTTTTGCGAAGATGTGGTGATATAACTGAGATTGGAAATAAAGATGATGAAGAGGAGGAGGAGCAAAAAGAAAACACTGAATTTCGGTCACCAAGCTCTTTATCAAGCATTACCTCAGGTGATACTACATCCACGCTGTCCACATTCTCTCCGGCATCGTCTTCATCTTTTGATTTACACAATTTGTCCCCTTCAGGGTCAGATTTTACTCCGACTCTTGTTTCTAAACTTCCACATCTTCACTCTCGGAAGGTAAAGAACAATGAGGAGGCAACTGGTTCTTTGCAGTCTCTTGCAGTGAGGAGAGGGAGTAATCCTCCTTGTCTTGTTCTATTGCCTCCTGTTGAGGGTGGCAAGTGCCGGCTGTCCCCTAGGGACATAGTAAGAGATTGGTGTTTGTCGTCACCTTTTGTTTCAGATTTGGAGGAGCACCATGTACATTGAGCAACCAACATCATCGGGCTGCAAAGATGATAGAAGAGAAGAAATTTCTATAATGGATTATGATAAGGACCACATTTGGCCACCTCGTCCAATTACTTCCCAAAGAGATTAGTCCCAAGGTTCTTGATTTTAGCTCAGTGTGTATGTTGTTAGCACCACCGGATTCAGGTCTGGCAAGGGAGAATCGGAAGCAAACATTTTTGTATGTCTATCTAAGAAGGCGTAGTCAGTTGAATTATACACAGTGACACCGGTAATGAAATGAGCAGAGTGTGCAGAAAATAGGCAGGATGATTCGGATAGGATTTTAAGTAGACGTGACTGATCCAATGGTTCTTTCATCGGGTATTCCTGTACAGGTAACCACTATTTCTTGCTAATCAATATTGTTACATACTTTCATTATGATCATCGGGTATTCCTGTACAGGTAACCACTATTTCTTGCTAATCAATATTGTTACATACTTTCATTATGATAAACTGTTCTTAGATGATTCATTGTCACTATTTCTTGCTAATCAATATTGTTACATACTTTCATTATGATAAACTGTTCTTAGATGATTCATTGTCTTATTGTTTCTTGTTTCTGTGAAAATTCATATTAAGTGTGAAGACAAACTCTCTCTTCAGATTTCTATATAAATAGCGGTTTCATTATTTAACAAGATCTAGTTTATTCAAAGTATAATTGAGACAGAAGTGGAAATGTAGACCTTTTTGACAAAGTCATTGTCATTTATCAACAGTGGGAGATGATTTGAATATTCAATTTGAAAATTATTGAAGATGACATTTGATACAACTTTGTCAATTGATTGATTTTACTGTATGATGTCAGATTAACTATTGCTCAACACCATGATGTCAACAGGAAAAATACACTCAGGGGCTGTTTGTTTCGTTTCCCCAGAATTCAAAACCCACTTTCCTTCACTTTTTCACTTTCCCCCACTTTCCAAAACCCACTTTTCTTCACTTTCTCCATTTTCCTCCAATAATATTGTGACAACTCATCCCATCACATCTCATTTCATACTTTTAAAAATAAACAAAACACAAGAAATGAGTCACATCAATCAACTCATCTAACTCACTTTCCCCCACTTTTCTTCATTTTCTATCATCTTTAAAAATTACTCACATCATCCAATAATATGGTGACAACTTATCACATCTCATTAAAATTTCCTTCCATCACTTTCCTCCAAAAAAACAAGGAAATTGATTTTCCTAAGTATGTGTCACATCATCCAATAATATAATGACAACTCATCTCATCTCATCTATTTTCCCTCACTTCTAAGAATGAAGCAAACAAAAGCAAAGAACCTAAACAAGGAAAGTGGAGGAAAACATCAAAAATTACTCTTATCAACCAATAATATGGTGACAACTCATTTTCTCCCCCACTTTCGGTTATAGCTTTGACGAACCAAACCTCTGAATGTGGAGGAAAACATCAAAATTCACCTTCTTTTCCTCCACTTTCCCCCACTTTCGGTCTTTTTTTGCGAAACAGACAGGCCTCAGAGGAAATTGAAGGAGAGAAAGGATTTGGTAGGAAGGAAAGATTAGGTAGGGGAAAACGGATTAGCGGGAACATTGTGACATTAACTGAACAGGATGCAAATTGGACCATGTCTTTTAAATTAATTCCACAGGCCATATTAAGAATAATATCAGCCTAAGTTTAATGTCTAAGTTATCACCGTATTCCTTTAGCACCTTGGTTATAGAGAGGCCTTCTGCTACAATTCTCACTTTTCTTCAGGAAGAATGAGCATGTCACACACAGTCTCTCTCTTTCTCTCTTTTATATACACAAATGTAATACGTTTGATTTTATGTGTGGAGTATCTGATGATATCTACAGATTTGATTTAAATAGTTAGTGAGACAAAAATTTCCATTTAAGGTCAAACAAGGTAAACTTGAGGCCTTGGTTACTAGTGCTTGCTGTCCAAAAATTACAGAAATTTCAGGCCTCATTTTTCAAGATTTAATAGGGCCTCCAAGATGGAAAAAGGATCTGACAGATTAGAGATGAGATGTAGGGACAGTTTAGCGTTTTGGATCTGTAGAAAAAGAAGGAAGAAGAGAGACAGCACCAACTTACAGGCAATAAATAAATTCTCTTTATATTGAAGGTTTTTTTAATGATTTGGGAATGACCTCAATCCTGCGTGTTAAGCTGTGTAGTATGACTGCTAAGATGCCACAGTTGTTCCTTATGAGACTAAAAACGAAGAGAGAACATGTTATAACCATTTTTTTTAATTACAGATTGGCTCTTTCAGCACATTAGAGCAGATGGATTTAGGTTCTCGTGTTGGAATGTAGCTGCACTTCTACAAGTTTAGAAATTGCATATAAGCCCTTACAATATATATAATCTGCCCCCTATAAATTATAGAAATTGAACCTCAATCTATCTAAAAACACTAAACAAGTTATTAAGCTTCGTTTGGATACCATTGGGTTTTTATTGTTGTGTTTTTGTAAAAAAACACCATGATGTTGTGTTTTTCCCTTAAAATGTTTTCAAAACATCATGTTAAGTATTTTTGGTCAACACTAGTTTGACTCATTATAACATTAGCATTAAACATATCATTAATATATTCTATATTAATTATAATAAAATATATTATAAATAAAATATTATAATATTTAGTTTACATTATTATAGTATTATAAGTATTAAATGTAATGCAATATAATATTGTATAATGTATTATAATATTATATTGTACTTTAATGAGTTATATTATATTATATTTATTATTATATTATACTTATTACATATTATTTTCAAATAATTATATATTTAATTATTTTGGTATATGAATTTGTTATTTTTGTATATTATATTAATATGTTTATAATAATTTTATTTTCTTATTAATTGAATATATTATTTTTACATTAACATTTGTTAGCAATAAATTATTTTATTATTAAAAATTATTTTACTTTATAATAAATTATATTATTTTATTACATAATATATTAATATTTTATATATTATTTTACATTTACTATATAATATGTTATTATAATATTATTATTATATTGTTGTGTTATTATTAAATATGTTACTATTATATAATATTTTATAATTATTAATTTATTTCAATTTATTTATTAAAAAGTTAATCATATTATAGCGATTATACTATTGTATAGTATATTATTATTTTATTATTTATTATCAATAACTTTTTTTATTATTTTTATTAGTTTATTTATATTTATTATTATTTATTTATTATATAATACATTATTAACATATTAAATATTAGCATTTAATATGTTAATATTTTTATATAAGATATTTTATTTATTATATTTTGATATTATTTAATAAATATTACTAATATAATAAATTAACTATAATGTAGTATAGTGTATAGTATAATATAATAAGCATGTTGATAATAACTCTATATTAATTATATTTAATATATTATGTTAGATATTATATTAACACATTCTCAAACTCAAAACCAAAACATCAAACTTAAAACACCTAAAAGGTGTTTTGAAATAAGTGTTGTGTTTTTGGTTTGAGGGTGATTTAGCTTAAAAAACACCATGGTTTCCAAACGCATTGTGTTTTGCTTTTGGCAAAAACACCATGGAAACAAGGAAAACACCATGGTATCCAAACGGAGAAATTGAATTAGATTTAAAGTTTACACCTGCATTCCTATTGGGTACTATAGTTTTAAATATTATATTTTTATTTTTAGATAAATAGATACTTGTCCCCTCCCCTATAAAAACTTTATGGATCCGTCGTTGAAAGTAGTACATTAGAGCACTAGGAAGACCTTCTCGTCTAGGCAACCAAAAGAACCAAATAGAATCAAATAGGAAGATATATTTATTTCAGATCAATTTTATCGGCAAATTTCTAATTCACATTTAAAATCAGATTCCACGCCAAATGATATTAGAATTTGATTCTTTGATATATCTTAGTGTATGATAATTATTCTTGAATACTCATTGGACACATCTGTGCATATTGGCGTATATTATTTGATAAGTATTTTGTTAAGGATCAAGTTTGGATCAAGAACACAAAACAATTGGACTGAGTGATATCTTATTATTTCATCACTTGGCTATATATATAGCCTTACAACTACCAGAACAATCCACTTTGCACATACTATGTCTTAGTGGTGTAAACAAACAAGAATGATTCAAAGTGGCTAAAACTACTCTAACAGACGCTAAAGAATAGGTCTTTTATTCCCACAATTCTGGACTCATGTAACTTCTTCCAACAATCCCTCCCTTGAACTTATTACATTGACAAGCAATCAATTCAAATCTGGAGCAACACACACTCCCAGTTCTTCACGAAGTTTCTGAGAAGCTTCCAACTTGAGGGGCTTAGTCATCAAGTCTGCAAGCTGGTCTCGAGTGCCACAATTTAACATCTGAACAACTCCATCTTTAGTAAGATCTCGAAGAAAATGATATCGTACCCTTATATGCTTGGTACGACCATGAAAAACTGAATTTTTGGACAACTTTATAGCTGAGGTTGTCACACATTATCACTGTTCCTCCTACCTGAACATGACTGATCTCTTTCAGAACCCTTCTCATCCATACAGCTTGGCAAGTACATGCTACAGCTGCGACAAATTCAGCCTTCGTGGTTGACAATGTTACTATGGGTTGCTTTCTTGATGACCTAGCTACTGCATCTCCACACATCATGAACACATATCTTGAAGTGCTCTTACTATCCTCCATATCCCCAGCATAATCACTATCGGTAAAGCCCACCAAATCACTTGCTCCTTCCTTCTTGTAAAACACCATAATCCACAGTTCCTCGCAAGTACCTCAAGATCCTCTTTGCAGCTGCAAGGTGTAGTTGTGTAGGACTTGCCATGTAATGGCTAATGAAACTTACAGCAAACATGAGGTCAGGTCGAGTGACTGTGAGGAACAACAGACTCCCTACCATCTGCTTGAACAGAGTTGCATCCACCTTGACACCATCTTCGTCACTACTGATTTTCTGCTCTTGAACAATAGGATTACGAACTGGATTGCTCTCCGCCATCCCAAAACGACTTAATACCTCAGCTGCATACTTCCTTTGGCATATAAATACACCATCAGATCTTTGTAGTACCTCAATTCCAAAATACCTCAGCTGCATACTTCCTTTGGCATATAAATACACCATCAGATCTTTGTAGTACCTCAATTCCAAGAAAGAATTTCAGCTCTCCTAAATCTTCATATAAATACACCATCAGATCTTTGTAGTACCTCAATTCCAAGAAAGAATTTCAGCTCTCCTAAATCTTTCGTCTCAAACTCCCTTTTCATGGAACACTTGAACTCATACAACATCTCATCATCATTGCTAGTAAACATCAGATCATCAACATAAATGCTCACAATGAGAAATTTACCTCCTTTCCTTTTGACAACGAGTGTTTGTTCACTAGGACTGCATTCGAAACCTTCCTTGAGAAAATAAGACTCTATTCGGCTAAACCAAGCTCTAGGTGCTTGTTTTAGTCCGTACAGAGCTTTTTGCAACTTGTACACCATATGCTCACTTCTCTTCCTTTCGTAACCCTTTTGGCTGTTCAACAAAAACATCTTCCTTCAGCTCCCCATGTAAGAACGCCAACTTAACATCTAGCTAGTAGAGTTTCCATCCCCTTTGAGCTGCAAGAGCTATGATCATCTTTACAGTATCCATTCTAGCAACAGGTGCATACACTTCTGTGTAATCAATTCCTTGCTGTTGAGAGTAGCCCTTCACCACCAGTCGTGCTTTGTATTTGTTGACTTCACCTTGCTCATTTAGCTTGGTTTTGTAAATCCATTTCACTCCTATTTTATTGGCTCCAGTAGGCAGTTCCACTAAGTGCTAGGTCTGATTTCTTTCAATGGATTCTATTTCTTCATCCATTGCCAGCCTCCATTTCGAGCTCTGTACCGCTTCCTCAAAGGTTGCAGGATCTGCTGTCACCATGAATGCCATGTTTGCTTCTTCTTCCTCTGACAAACCTTCACCCGAAAAATAGTCAATTGTCCACACAGGAGGATCTCGAATTCTTCCCTCCCTTACTATCACATCCTCTTCTCTAGCCGGTGAATCAACTCCAGATCCATCAACCTCTTCCACTTCTTGTTCATTCATGACTTCCACTGCTTCTTCTTCATCGGTATTTTCCCATTCTAGCTCCATCAACTGTTCCTTTTCATAGCTAGCTTCCCACTCCTACACACGGTCTTCTTCAAAGACCACATCACGACTAATAATGACCTTTTTGGCAACTGGATCGTACATTTTGTACCCTTTGGATTTTTCACTGAAACCAAGCAAAATACGATTCACACTTTTATCTTCAAGCTTGGTTCTCCTAGCATCTGGAATGTGGACATGTCCCAGACATCCAAATACCCGAAAATACTCCACTGATGGCTTTTACCGCTCCAAGCTTCCTTAGGGGTCATGTCTTTCAATGCTAACGTGGGTGAACGATTCAAGACATGAATTATCCATTAAGCTGCTTCTGGCTAGAAAGACTTGGGAACTTTCTTCTCTGACAACATAGCTCTTACCAAATTCATCATAGTACAATTCTTGCGCTCGACCACTCCATTTTGTTGTGGGGTGTAAGCTGTTGTTAGTTGTCTCCTCACCCCATGTTGTCTACAGATCATTGAACTCTGTAGAGTTAAATTCTCCTCCTCTTATCTATTCTCATGCATTTGATAGTCAATCCAATTTCTTTTTCCACAAGTATCTTGAAATGCTTAAAGTGACAAAAAACTTTCGACTTTTCTAACAGAAAGTAAACCCACGCCTTTCTAGAAAAATCATCTATGAAACACAATAAGTACCTCTTCTTGTTGCTTGAAGCTGGTGTGATAGGGCCACAAAGGTCTGCATGAATTAGTTGCAATCTCTCAGTTGCTCTCCATCGACTTGCTTTGGGAATTGGTGTCCGATGCTACTTGCCTTTCATACACGCCTCACAAATGACACTTGAAGCTGCAATCTGTGGTAGGCCTGACACTATTTTCTTGCATTGCAAGGTGCACAGGCCTTTGTAGCTGAGGTGGCCATACCGATGGTGCCAGAGCTTAGACTGATCCATAGTACTAACTTGGATACATCTCTCTTCTTCTGCCATGATAGATGGTTCAGCTAGCAAAACAAACATTCTGTTTGTACTTATGACAGATTCCACTATTTTTCCTCTGTGGATGAAACATACTACACACACCATCTTGGAACAGCACAGCCACTCCCTTTTCCTGAAGTTGTCCTATGCTCAGGAGGTTGGTTTTTAGCTCAGGCACACAATACACATCACCAATGACATAGTTAATTCCATTCAACACCAACTTCACAACTCCTTTTGCCAATAACATTCATTCTAGTATTGTTTCCAAGTTTGACAGTATGTGAAAATGTTGTATCCAAACTTGTAAACATACCAGGATTCCCACACATGTGGTTTGAACATCCAGAGTCGACAAACCATGCATCACTCCTCTTTGTTGCGTGTAGCTCCACATACGCCATCACGAACAACTCATCTTCCTCATCTAACTCAGCATAATTCGCCTCCTTGTTCCACTTAGGACATTCATATTGAAAGTGCCCTAAGTTATGACACTTATAACATTCAACAGTTGCTTTGTTGAAAGTTGTTCTTCCTCGTCCTCATCCCCTGCCTTTGGGAAACATCGTTCATCCTCCGCTTCTTGTTCCTGTCCGGTCTTCTATCTTCAGAACTTGATCCTCACTCTCATTGCTCATCCATCGAAACTTATGTTCATGCACCACCAATGAACTTTGCAATTCATCAATGGACATGGTATCAGCGTCATTTGCTTCTTCTATGGACACGACAACGTATGTGAACCTCTCAGTTAAGGTTCGAAGGATCTTCTCAACGATCTTTGAATCGGGCATGGTTTCTCCATTGCTCCTCATCTGGTTAGCGACCGTCATCACTCTTGCAAGGTACTCAGTGACAGTCTCATTATTCTTCATGGTTAGAACCTCAAACTCTCTTCTTAGCGTGTTAAGAAGAGACTTCTTCACCTTGACATTGCCTCCAAACTTCAGCTTCATCGAGTCCCAAACAATCTTGGCTGTGCGACGGTCCAAGATTTGTTGAAAGACAGATCGATCAATGGCTTGGAAGAGATAATGCTTGACTTGGTGATCCCTGGTTCTTGCATCTGCAAGTTGAGCCAGCTGTGCCTCAGTCTGCCTCATCATGTCTTTTGGCTCTTCAAAACCATTCTCCACGAACTTCCAAAGACCCTTTGCCCTAAGCAGGTTCTCCATCAATTCACTCTAGTGGTCGTAATGACCATCGAAGTGAGGGATCTTTGTCAGAGTTTTGTCACTCATTCTCACAGTGTTTGATCACTCGAAGACTACTGCTTCTTTTCTTCAAGCCCAGTGGGGACTCTGATACCAATTGTTAAGGATCAAGTTTGGATCAAGAACACAAAACAATTGGACTGAGTGATATCTTATTAGTTCATCACTTGGCTATATATATAGCCTTACAACTACCAGAACAACCCACTTTACACATACTACGGCTTAGTGGTGTAAACAAACAGGAATGTTTCAAAGTGGCTAAAACTACTCTAACAGGCCCTGAAGAATAGGTCTTTTATTCCTACAATTCTGGACTCATGCAACTTCTTCCAACATATTTGGTAATTATTTGCTAATTGCTTTTGTGATAAAAGTAGTTTATTAGTTATATTCACTACGAGTAGAATATAGAGAACAATAATGGAGCAACAGAACATGCCCCACAAAATGTAAAAGCTAGAAAATGAGAACAAAACATGATCACGCGATACAATTGTCGGTAATTAAAAAAAAGTAAGGCATCACATTTGTGCACCGAAATATATAAATACAATTTAAAGAAATCAATAATAGAATACGAAAACATGTTTGCATAAAATAGAGAAGCTAGCAAATGCAACATAATAATTTGATATGAATATAGTTTGTGATGCATTGAATTTACAAGGATTAAAATGCAAAATATAAATGGAAATTTACTGAATATGCAGCTTGTTTTATTCAATTCATTTATGAATCGGATAATTCGCTTACTTTCAAATGAATTACCTAACCGAATATAACTAAATAATTGCAAATGGGTTATTTGTTTATTATTGGACCAATTTCCATCCCCACACAACCTAACCTACTTTATGGCAAAAATGGAGTCTTACGACCTAACTACTAACGTTAAGCACATACCCATTTGACGCTGTTTCATAAACCAAACCAATAATTAACTAATTTTATTTCCGGCTAAGTCTGAATCAAGTTGCTACTTTATCCAAACCAAACCAAGATTAAACGTGATAACCTCCATTAGAAACTTTCTTTTCATTAAAAACAGAAAGGGGCTATGCAGTATTGCCTTTTGCGCCTCGGATACATCTTGAATTTGCATAGGGTGCATGTAGTACATACCCTCGTATAGTTTTGTTTGTTAACATTTCAATCGAGTCTTTATACTCGATAATCCATATCCCAAAAGGCAAAATAAGTCCATTAGGCCTTTTTAGTGGGTCTTCAATTGAGGACCATAACTAATTCTTCGCTTGAATATTAGTCTTGATTTGACATTTGATTTGAGAATTTATGAATTTTGCTATTATGTTGAGTGTTAGCATTAGAAATTAAGACCTTATACTATGATTTTGTAGTAAGATATCATTTATCATGACATATTTTTTATGTGATTTCTTAAACATGTTCATTCGTATTTGATTATATATCTTAGAAAATTATGTGCACGGTATGCACCTCGCATCACTAGGGCCCGCGCATCGCGTTGCGCCTCGCGCATGTGTGTGTAAAGATGCTTTGCGTCCCGCATTGCGCCTCGCGCATTGATAACACTGAAGTTATGTTGCATCATTGCAGGTGACATCGTCAAAGGAGATGTATTCTACACATTTTTATATTTGAGCATCTTGATGCTTGAATCATATGTATTCTATACTCCTATGCTATGCGTTAAGATTTTTTATGTATCCTGAATGAAATGAAAACCTCATAGATGTATGCAAGAGGAAAAGGAAAACAAAATTTAATTTGAACGTATGAATGATGGGTTCTGATTTTACTTGATTAAGAATTGTTTTACAGTTATATAGTTTGTCCATGTTACTAGTGATATTGATGTTTATTTCTTGCATAGCCCCTTTAATTTGTCATCCTTCTAACTCCATCCACGTATAGTGTTTCTAATTTAACTTTGAAGGTGGACACTCACCTAGCTGTCACTGTCCCATTTTTAACATTTGTGTTTGATGTAGCCCTTAATTCTATTATGATTTTGTCTTATTTCTACTTGAGCATTTATGTCTACTAGTTGAGATGCACGTGCAATGCACGTGGTTAAATATTACGAGTTGAGATGTACGTGCAATGTACGTGGTTGAATATCATGATTATTTAAATTGATAAAATAGAATAAAAATAAAAAAAATAAAGTTTTTTTGTGGGATTGATCGTCAACTCAATAATCTCTCTCAAATAAAATATTGTTATTATTTTTTTTAACCCAAACTGTGGCCACATGATCTACTATTTATGAGTTATAAACACATTAATCTAGTATAACATCTATATTTATTAGTATCTTGAAGTCTTTAAAAGATGGATGATCATTCAATTCGCAAAGGAATTTTGCATATGAATTTATTTGCAACATGTCCATTAAACTTTTAGTTGTGGTTTGACTCATATCCACATTAACTTTTAGTTGATGTTTCACTCATATTTATATTATCTAATATTTTCATTCAATTTTATAGCTCATTCTCCGTATCATAGAAGTGAAACCGAAAGTATGAAAAAAAAATTTCTTGCGAAGTTAGAATAGGGAGATTATGATATATTTCACCATGTGCTTTAAATATAAAAAAATTCTTTGATGCAAGGACCCTATCAAATCTTACCCCAAACGATGTGAATGAAAAATGCTATTATAACTCATTTGCCTAGGGCAATTGTATTGTATATAGGATACATAACTTATCTGGAATATCTATATCTTCTAAGTGTATTTTGCTGTTATGAGAGCAAAATGTTAGAGGCTCGTATTCAAACTTTTTGGCTCTATATAAAACACAAGAATTTGGAGTGCATAGCTTATATATCATAAAGAACATATTGATTCATGAAGAATTTTTCCTAATAATGATAGTATTACAACGATATTATTATTTAATATAAAATTAATTTTGTTATATAAGATTATATGACCCTTTTTAATAAATTATAAAGTATATATATGGAAATCTCGATGCTTATAGCTAGTAGTTGGGCTCCACAAAATAGGTTAAATTTACATTGTAGTTTGTTATTTGTAGTACTGTTGGCAATGTTATTACCTTCCCTCTTTATCTTATTATTCACACTTTTCTAATGTAAGTTCTCTTTTACTAATCAGTCAATTGACTGTATTTAGTTTTTAAAATATCATATGTTAGAATATTCTCTTCTATTTAAAAAATGTTGACATGATTTTCTTAAAAAATATGTACACATAGTAACAATAGTATATACTTCAGTGCAACTCAAACATTGGCTTGAAGCCATTAAGAGTGATGTCCCTTCTATGCTAGAATGATGATATAGTGTTTACATAGTCTAAAAGTCAAAGAAGAAATTTTTACAAAGGAAAAGTAATTTAATATGTCAAATTAAGAACTAATTTATAAAATATACATGGGTAGTGCAGATAACTATAGAAAGTAAGGTATATATCTTCATAAAAATTTCATAGTGAGTGACCAACTACAATCATCCTAATTTAAGCATAAATAATTATTATTTTAGTTACTAATTTGATAGTGTAACTATGGAATAAATCTCTAGCAAAAAATATGAATTGAGATTGTATTATGCTGTAGGTAAGTAAATAAATGTTATTAGAGCTCCTCTTTATATTAAATTTAAAAGTAATAATTTAAATTATTAAGTACCAAATATTACCTCATGTGAGAAAGTAAAGTAATCTATGGTTTATATACGTATATAATCAATCAATCAAATGTATTAAAATTATGTTGACCACTGTCAAAATTATATGGTGAGTTCACATTAAATATAATTTATAAAAAATAGTACATTAAAGTTAAAAATCTTTTTAACCACTATATAGATTGCTTGAAAATTTTTGCATATATAAACTATACTGCCTAGGAATAGTAATGTATACACTTAACCGTGGTCTAATAATCTTAAGAACGACTTATTCTTCAATATCATCATTAATTGATGTATATGTGCATTACACTGAAAACACAATAAAAATTTAGAAAACTATAAAATAAACACCCTCAAAAGTTTTTAAAATTGTAAAAAACACCCTAATTTTGTTATTTATAAATACACAAAATTATTAAACATTACATTAAAATCAAGGATTTACAAATAAGTAAAATTTATAATTTTTAAGATACTTTAATAAAATTTTGAATTTGTAGGAGTGTTTTTGCAATTTAAAAAGCTTGGAGAATATTTTTTACAAAGTCCAAATAGTTTTAGGTGCTGGTTAGCATATGTTTTTTAGATTTCTCTACGAACTGAAATAAGTAAAGGATTTAAATTATTTATCCAATAACATGTTAAATATCATTATGAATAGAATAAACCAATTAGTTACAAATTCAAATTACCAATTCAAAGAAGATAGGATAATTAAAATAGATTAGGATAACAATGTAATATTAAAAAAAGTTAAAGGTAATATTGACCGTAGAAAGATTTTCCCGAACTCGTACTTTTAAAGGGAGTATGATAAAATGTGTTTAGAAGACTAATGCAAATGTTGCAGGATATATCACACATCGAAGAAAAATAGATGGCTATATTGTTAAATATGTTCTAAAGGATGTGGGGCTCAAGAGAACTGCTCTCAAAAAGAAGCTTTAACCCTATAAGGAAACTGTGTTCATATTTGAGCATGCACATTGAGTATTTTGTACCAAATATAAAAAAGGTACTCGTCGCGATTTCTTTTGGATAACTAGTTATTGGCCCATATAGGTTTCAAATTGCCCACAAGCTCTAAACACGCTAATTTTAAGTTACTAGGTTTTATGTGCGTGCAATGCACGCGGTTAAGTACCATAATTTAGTATATTTGGTTTGTTTCCTACATAAAATTTGTTTCTCAGTTCCATTTTGATGGTTTTTGCTCATTTATGTCGCTAAATTTTAGCATTGTGATTATTTATTTTCTTTAATGTTCGTTTAAATAAGCTACACCTAATTTAAATTTTCATGTTGATAATTAAATTAATAGGAAACAAATATAATCTGAAGCCAATTTGAATTATCATGTTATTTGATCAGACATGAAATCGAGCTTGAACTGATGAAGTATAGTGTTATAAAAGTGAAAAACACTTCAAAATGATGTTATAAAAAGAAGATAAATTAATTAAAGCTAATAAAATAAGATGATTGGTTAAAAGTCGGCTAAAACAACAGAAAAGAGAATATAGAGCTTGTTCCTAATCCTCAATAGACTTTAAAAAATCATAAACTAATGATTAATGCTAATGCTAGCACACTTTTATATGATGAAAGTATCCACATAAGCATATAAAAATACTAAAAAGAGTTCATAAAAATCCATTCTAAAGATTCCTAATATACTCAAAAAAAAAAAATTTCTATAAAATATTTAGAAAATAGTGACATTCATTCATTCTGTTCATTTTTTATTAAGCCAACATCAACCTACCCTGTATCTTTTTCATAAAATTAGACTACCTTAAAATGCTGAAAAAATAATAAATCTTAAATTGGAAGTTAATTTTACATATCTTAATAAAAGAACATCAAATAACTACTCTTTTCTTTGCTAAGATTTGAAATTTTAGTTTTTTTTGTGAATTTAAAATTTTAAGGGCGTGTTTTGTATATTATAAAACTTTAAGAGTGTTTATTGAAGATTTTAAATTTTAAGTAGGGTGCTTGTAATTTTTATATTTTATATGTTGGTGGTAAGTTTTCGAATGTCAGGATATTTCCTACAACTCTAAAATTTTAAGGGTGTATTTTTATTATTTTTAAAACTTTGTATTGTTTGTTGTAAAATTTAAAATTTTAGCAGTCTGCTAATAATTTCCAAATTTGATATGTGCTGGTTGTACATTTTGAAATTTCAAGGTTTTTTTGTGATTTTTAACTTGTGAATGAGTTTTTTTTAATTTTTATAACTTTGAGGTGTTTATAAACTTTAAATTTTCAAGTGTCTGACGGTAAACCATTGAATTCATCTTTGTTATTTATAAGTTTTGAAATTTCTAAAATCTAGGGTATTTTTTTATTATTTAAACTTTAGAGGTGTTTCTATAATATTTGAAATGTTGAGTGTTATTTGCAAATATTAAATTCTTTAGAGATTGTTGTTAATATCCATATTTCATGGTTTTTATTTTAAGTTTTAAAACCTTAAGATGTTTTGTGTAATTTTAAACTTTTGAGGGTATTTTGTATAATTTTTAAAACTTTTTGGGTTTTTTATAATACTTCATACATTATAGCATGTTAATTCTTTACATTAACAAACTAATACAGTGGAGTTGTTTCATGTTTTTTATTAATCTTATTTTTGTGAAATTTATAAGCTGTAGGTGTAAGGACCGTGAATTTTGATACTAGTTAAAATAAAATTTTTGGTATTTTAAAATGTTTAATTATTATTTTTTAAGAGTATTTATATTTTTCACGATTTTCTAGAATTTTCTATGATTTAAAAATTAACTTTTATATTTATTTAAATGATTTTGATAATTATAAATTTATTTACTGCACTACAAAATTTATAGAATTTATCTGTTATGTTTTTGATACTATTACATATTATTTTACATAATATGTTGTATTATTATTATTTATTACGTATTATTTCGTATAATACGTTGTATTATTAATTACATTTTAATTGTACAATTTACTGTATTATTTTTACTGTTACATATCATCTATCGTATTAGTATAACTGGTATGTTTTACTGAGTGGATAATTATTCCATATTTATTTGATTTTAAATATAAGAAATTATATTTTTATTTAATTATTCTTGTTTAGTTATATAATTTCTTGT